CCGCCCCGGGCATATCCACCTGTGAATGTAGACTGGCAGCTCTGGAAGTCCGGGGTGAGGGTACGCAGACGCGAAGGTCTACTGCGCTGTGCAAGCTGGCGGCGCGAGAAGACCGGGGGGTCACGGAGTGGGTCACGTCTAGGGGGGGCACTAGGGCTGGTAAGTCGGCGGCGGAGCGCGAGCGCCGCGGGGGGCTTTCTGGGATGAGCGCCATGCTGCCTACGAAGACGGAGTTCTGGAAAAAACGACATGGTTTGTAACGATGACCTACATTACTTTTTAGATTTATGGCGCAGTATTTTAATCAAATATTTTTTGGTTATCATTTCTTATAGCTTCTTAATTACAAGCTTTCTTTCATTGAATGCTGTATTTACCTGTAAAGGCATATCTTTCAGATTTCAGCTCTCAATTCATATAACAGTGAATGCAAAATGATATGTTGTTAGTAAATCTTTAAAACAATGTAAAACTGAAGTTTTTTTTTACATTTTAGAAAAAGATGAGTATCAATGAGGAGCTGGAAAATGCTAGTTTGAACGGTAGGAATACTGTTCTCAAGATATAATCACCCCAGTCATGAATATAAGAAATATTACACAGAATAGCCCAAAATTTACCTGTCTAGGTCGATGAGCGGAGAGGTACCCACACGGCTGGTAGGAGGGAAAGGCCACGCCGCAGTCGTACGACACGCAGCCTCGCGCTAGTGATGGTCGGTGCTGCATAACAGGGCACAGATTAACAGTTGATATCCCCAAAAAGTTTAAAGAGAATAGAAAGATAGAAACCAATAAGTACAAATAAACATCAATAACAACAAAAAAAAAACAAGAAACAAAAATTAGGTAGGAATACTCGTAAAGCAGTATTTTTAAATAAAATACAGTTTTGCACATCTCATTCTTAATGATTTTGATGTTTTATTGCCGTAAAAAGAAAAAATAGGATTACCTACCTATAATCATAGTCAAAATAGTATGGTAAGTTATAGGATTTATGAAAATCATGTTATTATTGTGACACAAGTTAAGATAACGGAATCCTCATAAACGTAGGAGGAAGGCGCTGGATGCAGGCTGTTGCCAACCGGTCATTATGGAAATCAATGGGGGTGGCCTATACGGATGGCACTGATGTATTTCAACCATAACCAATAAATACTTACATGAGGCGGTACCACGACCGAGCTTTCTGCAAGCGCGCAACTTTGTCGATGCTGCTGCTGGAACTTCGGCTGGTACGGTTCTAGCATCCTGGGGAGTTCATTATTTCATTATCTACATTCAGGACAATACGAGTAACATACTATAGTGATTGGCATTTTGAAGCTTAGTGCTTTAAATAATGCTACTTATTTTAATAGAAAAACTTTGATTCATAGTCTCACTTAAATAATTCGTCAATGTACCTACGTATAATTAATGTCTTTGTAGCTCGTATGCTAAAAAGCAGTTGCTAGTATATAGCATACATATTGACTCCTAACTTTTTTCAAAAGAAAATAAACGTGTTTAAGTCAATGTTTTTTGCTATTCTCTTGGCACTGGTAACGAAATAGCAATACAGAGCGTATGGAGAACAATTTGTAAACTCTATAGATAGGTGATTTTTAGAAGCTAGGTAATCTATTCGTGCTGAAGGCTTTCAGGTTGTATGAATACCTAATATTTTATTTACAGAAAAATTTTCGTTACAATTTCTTTTCATAATTTTTCACACACAATTTAGATGAAAGGTGTATAATATTCTAAATACCCGGTTAGCAGGAGACTGATTCTAATTGGTTACAGCATCCTAATGAAGCCAGTAGGGGCTTGAATAATTAGCGGTCTGCAATCCTGGGTACCCACGGCACTGAGGGAATACAATTAAGTGGCGTGGTTATTATAGCGTGGGATGATTTAGGTAAATACTATTATCATAGTATTCGTATGCATGATATGGGTACCTGCTATGATCGAAAGTTTAAAGGGATTGGGGCCCAGAGCCTAATTGGTTATCTCAATATCAATTACGGTCGCTGTGACAGTTTTAGTAGAGTCGACAAGCATAGATATTAGACTATAAGATTTTGTGTAAAGTAGCTTAAAACAACTATGTTCAATACTCATGTGGTTAAATGATAAAATGTAAAGCCTTTCTGAATATTCCAACTTCAAATTCCTTTTAATCAACACTGTTTCTTCAAGATAATAATATTTGTATTGCTAAGTATTAGATGGGTAGCTTTCATCAGAAGATGCTGAGCAAGAAGCACATAATATTATGTTTCTATAAATACATAATCTTTATCTCATAATAATCAAAATAATAAATCAACTTTGACGGTCTTGAAACAAAAACCAATTGTATTTTTTTTAAAACAGTAGTGCTAGTGATGTACAGTGCTGAATTTCAAGATTAATTCAACTGTTTTTGCACCTAAGTATCATTGTCTTATCACCTAAAAGATCATTTAGGTAAGTGGAGGGTGCCCCTAAGTAACCTAAAGGGTGCATGAAGAAAATCAAGGGACTACGTACAGCTTATAGACGCACCTGATCTTGCCCCAGCGGTTGAAGAACAGGGCTATGGCCGCCACCCACAGCAGGAGGACGAAGGCAACTATGAGGGCTTCCTCTGCCCTGACCACCACGCCGCTGCCATCTGATGGAAAAAAGATAAATAAAATTAAAAATCTATACAACTTACTGTGCGTCCGGAGTGACAGCAAAAAGTCGCTCTCAGAAGCAGCTGGATGTGACAAGATGAAGATAAGGTAATCTTATATCTAAAGAAAGCGTGCCTTTAATATTTCCCGCTCTACGTAGCTTCAATAATATTAGAAAAGTATTGGGAATCAGGTAAGTTAGTAAGTTACCTACTATAATAAATCGTCGTTCCTAAATAAAGTTATCGTTTTCTGCTTCATTGAATGATGATGCTTTAACTCTTTCTGAAATTAGGCGTCTTTTTCTTAATAAACTATTTTTTATCTTTTTTATATATTTTCTGTACGTCTTTGAGTCTTTGATTGTAAAAAAACAAAGTTTCAATATTATACTAATTTCATTTTAAAGGTCCATTCATATAGTATTTTGTAGAAAATCAAAAAGCTACAATGTCTGTTGCAACCTTTGGCATGCAGATTAAGCGACAAAGTTCGCAGTCGTATCGCAATCAAGACAGAACTACAGCTCTTTGAAACTTGACTGTTGTATGTGTTTCCAGAAAACTCATTTGAAGTTTTAACTGATACATGCATTGGAACATGAATGTTTTTTGTTTTGTTATAGAAAGTATAATTTCATTGGTCTGTTTGTGATTTGAGCAAGACGTTCTCAGTGAAAAGCACTTGATTAACTGAAAATAAGCATGATTTTTGTCATCAAATGCCTTCGAACTAATTTTAGTAAGGTTCTAGGGTAAAAACAAATAGGCTATAGGTACTGTGTAGGCTAGTTAGGTACTCTACTTTTTATCGCAAAACAGTCAGGGACATAAAAATACATATTTACACTTTTGTGAACTTTTTCTGGTAACTGTTCTTTGGACCTTACGTTTACGAACATTTTTATAATACACTAACACAACCACAATCCTAGATTATATGAGAACTTTGCAACATCATTAAGCCCTACAATAGAAGTAGAACGGTAAGTTACTCATTTTACCCTACAGTAATAATAATAATAGAGTAATGGATATAATAATCATGAAACCAAATACGAAAAATAGAGGGTATCCTAATTTTTATTATTGACGGGATTGCTACCATGTACCATAATTTTGAGATTCTGATATTTCGGCACTGTTGCAAGCGCCATGGTCACGGAGTAACGGAGAGATCCTATTCAAGATTTGAAACCAACACATCTCTATAGTTGTTGGAAAACGGTAATTTAAAGTTAGCTTACAAGTTTCTTAGCTGCAGCTCTCCAGCTGAAATGTCATGGACACATCGAGGCCAGACGAGTGTAACGATGTCGAATATGATCGATACCAAACGACGCCTATTCATATCGATTTTAACAATACGATATTGAAACTATTCAATTGGATACTCGGTATGTCACTGCTTTAATAATGAACACGATATTATGTAATGTAATAGGAGGTTATTTAGGAACGCCCTTGAGAGATATAGATACCTTCGTATCTTCAAATTGATATTGGTAATTTTATATGGCTTGAACATGATTTATTTACTTTATAAATAAAAAGGAATATGCTTACTTTGCTTTCATCAGGAATTGAAATACTCGCTTGATATTTGGCGACAATTTTTGTGAACCAGTAAACATTAGATTGATGAAGCATCTATTGAGTGACCTTAGGGAGCTAATTTGGTTTAAATACAGAAATAACCTACATTTTACACACGAAAGAACTAAATTGTGATAGTTGCCAACGTTTTAAATTCAGTTTGCTAGGTTTCTTACCAAGCATGTAACTTGGCAAGGCACCCTGTATAATTAACTCAGTTCCAAAGCAAACATTGCCAACGAATAACTGTTTTTGTGTCAAACTCTATTCAGAACAAGACTCTATTCAAAACAAGGCAAATATATTTGAAACTGCTCTGCGTTGTATTTTGCTGGCATCTCTAATATAGCGTAACTAAATCTCTTCTTTTCAGCCAAATGACGTCCACTGCTGGACAAAGGCCTCCCCCAAGGTTTTCCACAATGAACGGTCCTGCGCAAACTAAATCTATGACAACTAGAACTAAACATACAAAAAGAAGACACGTTGCCGGGTGCAGTCCCAGCACCACTTCGGCGGGTGGGCCTTATGACACACCAAAACCCTAGAGCAGGGTACTCACCTGCCATGTAGCACGTAACGTAGCATGTAACGTAGCCAACCTTCCAGCAGCTCGCAGCCGGCTCGTGCCTTTGTACTCACTTGATACAGTATCTGATACATTACATGCCGTGTACGGCTATCTTTATTACCTATCCTTATCCTATCCTTTCTATAAAAACAAACGAAACCTACTCTTATACACACCGATGTCAGCTAGCGACACATTCCCGCGGGCGGTAGAGAGTGGCGGGTGCAGTCTCAGCACCACTTCGGCGGGCGGGCCGCCGGTCGCGCCACTCCATTCTGGGGACAAAGGGTTCGGTTCGAGAGTTAAGGGTTAAGTAAACGTGGGAATTTGAAATTAAGAGGTTGAGAAAGTTTTACGGATTTCGGATGTTAACTTATCCATAATGCGGTGAACTTAACAACAGTATTGTTAACAATTTCAATTTTCAATACTTAAGTAGTTTTGAGATTNTCTTCACAGAGCGAATGCGGTATCCATCGGGAAAACAACTTTTTTACACCTAATTGTTCATGCAAGATTATTTGTATTTGACTCATGCCAATGTCTAAAGTTGCCTGAATTTCGCGGTATATCACATGTCGATCTTCTTCAATCAGCTTACGCACAGCATCAACGTTTTCTTAGGTGACTGCAGTTTTTGGACGACCTTGACGGGGATCATCACTGAGCTTGACACGTCCACGTTGAAATTCAGGAAACTAGCGATAAATTGTGGTTTTGGATGGGGCTTCATTACCAAATGCAGAAATCATCCGGTCAACACACTGTTTTTGTGTTAAACCACTTCAAAAGTCATAATAAATCATCGCTCTTGAATTTTCTCGAGTCAATTCCATTTTCTCAACGACTAAACAAGTTTGACAAGACCTTGTGATACGACCGAGAATCTTTTTTTAAATAAATAAATGGTATACGATTTTTAAAACCCTGGACTTTGCAATTAAATAGATTTTAATATGACTGGAACAGTGGAAATATTCCATTCCCGATACTTTTAGTGCAGCCCTCGTAAGTACCTACCTTGTAGTTATAGTCATGTAAAAGACTTTAGGTACATTGAATTAACCAAATTCTCATTTTACGGATCGTAGCATGCAGTAAAAGTTTTATTTAAATTGAATAAGTTTTGTTAAAGGCCAACCCTTTCCTAATGCGCAGTGAAACATAAGCGAAACCTTACGTTGTAATAATGCAAAATGCCAAAAGCATTATTCAGTTTAATTTTATTTTACGTATTAGAGATGAGATGACTTAGCAAAATGGTTTAATATAAAACTACCCACCAAAAATTTCACTTCAAAGTTTTTACGTTCAAAGCTTAACGTTCTGAAAAAGTGACTGGCGAGTTTGGAGTTCGTTGATTAATAATGTAGTTAATGAGTGATTACCGAAGGATGGTCGGGATGTTTTAAGGGAAAAGAGGTCATCCGTTAATAAATATCTTTGAAAATACCTAGATTTTGTTTTAGTTCATTCAAATGTAATGTTTTATTGGGGATCGAACCCACGACCTTTAAGCATAGTGTGGTATTCGAACAACCAGGATAAATACTTTGGTTTTCATCTGGCCTGTAGGTATCTCTAATAAGACAAGTTCATCAGCTTGATATGCCAACGTCTGTACTATTAAGGTACAGTTACACATGCTTAAAACCAGCGTGCACGAACACCTCAAAATGAGCATGCTCATCATTATCAATGTTTCGATGCACATGCTACTAAGTAAGTCAATAGTGGTACTAATGAGCATGTGTAACTGCACCTTTAGGCTGAGGTGCACCACCTTATTTTAACCGTGACATAGCCATAACCGGTGTTTTTGTATGGAGTTTGACAGACTTTTGACGTGTGTTAAAGTTAAAGTAATAAGGTGCAGCCCAGCCTTAAAGGCTAATTTACACGTGTTAAGTAGATAAGTAGGTAGGTAATTAAATTATTAACTTAATTTTAAGAAGATTAAAGATTAATTGCGTGTAAACACACGATTTAGTAGCAAGTGGAAAGTTAAAATTTAGTTGTCAACTAAATTTTAAGTAGCAAGTACTGTTTACACCCAATTAATCACTTAAAATTAGGTTAACTTAATTTTTCTGTCAAGTTGGTGGGCGGGGATTGTCATTTGAAACGTTTTAACAAGTAGTTTCATAGTAAACAAGAGCTTGACGTTTGGACATAGAATGAAAATTAAGTTAAAATTAAGTTACGATGCAATTTGATCACTTAACATTAAGTTAAAACTTAGTTAAATACGTGTAAAGCAGCCTTAGTGTTCTATTATTCTATGCGTTAAGTGACTAGTGCTAATAACACTCGCTTTACCGCTCTCACCGGCGGAGATCCTCGACGGCGCGGGCTGCGGCCGTCCCGTGGAGCCCCGGTCCGTGGGATCGGGCGCTTCGGTGCCGGTTGACGCTGCGGGAGAAAAACATAAATCAGCAGGTGTATAATGCAACATTATCATTTTCATCATCAGGTTATCTAGCAAGAGCTGAAAATCGGTGTTCTGTCGTTTTGGGGGAAGTGTTTATACTGAGCTCTTTGCTTTTTGCATCGCTGCGGCACACATCACTCTGACGCAGGGAACTATTTTTTTAAAAAATTAACACCTCTAATTTACCAGGGGCACCTCCTCCTCTGTTAAATTAGAGATGGTAACCTTTGTGGGGATGGACCTTTTGTGACATGTACAAGAAGAGTGGTAGTGGTTCTATTCTACTATAGTGTAGTATGGTAAATTTTTGGATCCTGATACAAAAACACATAAAAATAAATAATGGTTAAAGTACGCAGAGAGCTATTAGACTCTATGGATTTACACACCACGTTTTCACATTTTATTTGTTGTTTTCCTATTATAGAGATATTAGAATACATAGAAAAGCTACTACTATGCCTCGTTAACTCGTATTATAATGCTTAAATAAAGTTAGTGGAACAAAGACACAATTCATCACTATAATTCTGAAATTGAGATACCTATGCATTTAATCTGGCCAATGTGAAAGCTTATCCTTATAATGTTTAGTCTGCCTTTAAACTAAAAGTCGCCCGGTATAACACCACGCGTAGAGCACGTAACTCACGTGATATATGACTGGCCTAATGTTTCATTTCACGTCGTTGTAAAACTGCACAGCGGATTTGCATATCGGGGAAAGAGCTATAAACTTGCCCCAGGTTGTTACCCGCGGTCTATTTAGTTATTGCATAAGACCGTCTTCTTTCGTGGTGTGGGAAAAGCTGGTTTCTACGCACACAGTGGCGCGTTTCTCACAGCGAAATCAGTGAGATAAAAAAAATATGACGTGAATGTTGACGGTCGTTTTGTCTTGTATTCGTTGCCATTGATGATTTCATGAAACCGAAATACTGACGGTAAGTACGAGTAAGTGTGCGATAATCCAGATGACTTCGACTAAAAATACTTAATTTACGGGGAAAAAAGTGGCCTGTCTATTCACGCATTGGCTAGTACAGTCGACAAAGCAGAATAGGTATACATTTTGTTGTAAAATATCTTCTACTAAGACTTTTTTAGATGCCACAGTGTAGCTTGAAGTACTTTCTTTTGCTTTTGTCCGTACTGTTTTACTTTTTTGTAGCTACCAAGGGCCATACGCAATACTTCACAGAAACATGAGAAATAAGTATGAATGCAGTTGACTGCATTCTGTGACGAAAGTTGATTGTGACTTCAAAGTCACAAGCAACTTTCGTCACAGAAACGTAAACGTCATATTTTATTATTATTCCACTTTGAACCAGCAGTTGAGTGAAGTACTGGTTAGTAGAATGGTTGCATAAAACTCTTATCTATCTAATGGCGTAAATTCTAAGCAGTTTTTAATGCACACTTACGAATTATATTTACGTGAATCCCCGTGAGGGCATTAGACAAAAGCTCGACAAAAGAATGCTTCATAGTCGTGGAACCCTAAAACATATAATTTCCGGTACATTTCCTTCATGTTCGCATTACAGGCACAGGTGGGAATAATGCTGGTCCAGCGAAGATTCCAACCGGCACATTGCCAGGAAGATCCATTTAGCGAACGCAAAAAGGTGGTCTATTACTGGGTTTGTAAGAGCGAAAACACGAATTATATGTTTCGTTTTTGTGATGTTAATGTAGAAAGGAAAATAAAGAAATTCCTCTACTTTTTCTTTTATTGTGGGTAGGTATATTGTTCATAAAAGATTGAACTTTTAAACAGGGTTAAAAGAGGATTGTAAAGAAGTTGTTATTAATGTTATTCGTAAACAGTTAACAGCGGAAGGACTTATTTTAGTGGTGTAATAAACTAAAGTACCGGCTGACCCTTGTTGAAAGGTATAAACCTATTTTAAACGTGGACGTGTAATGCGTCATGTATCAAGTGGGGATGTATTGTCAACTTGTACACGCGTCCTTTTAATAATTGGCACTCTGATATGATACTAAGGCCCGTATTCACAAACATTATGCGCATGGACGCACAGGGTGACACACGAACCTATCACAGAACTCTATTCAACGCTGTGCGTCCGATTTGCTGCTTCACTTAAGCAAGTAACGTTCAGCTCTGTTTCAATACATTTTGGCCGAACCTTATTTACGTTCCAAGCCTATTAAAATAAGCTCTACGTATAGTATTTATTTAGGTATTACCGGATTGCTGAAGTACAGTCAGCTTTATTACCAAAGAATGTTTAGGTATGAAGTTTTGTTACCAGTTTTATAGTATGACGTGTCATAATATATGGGTAAGTTCCTATTATTATAATAATAAACATTTTAACCACGGAATTACTCGTTGAAGCATGCATGCACAAAGTTTTAAATTTTGCGCAGTACGGCTATCGTATTTAATTTTATTGCAATTTACATTTTCAGCATGCAAATTGGATAATTATAGACTTAGTGCAGTCTAGGTAACCTAGACTTTCACTTCCGCGCAATTTAAAGTTTAAATAATTTAAACTTAGTCCATTGGCTTTTTAATTTAACAAAGGCTTACTGCAGTGTTATTTATTGCAATTTTATTGCAGATACTGCAGTTAAAAGCAAACCAAAAACAATATAGGTACCTACCTACCTACTCGTACGTATACGTTATCCTACTAATAATGAATGTAAAAGTTTGTAAGGATGGATGTACTCGTAACTATGGTTATTTGTTCCTCTTTCACGCAAAAACTACTCAACGGGTTTTGATAAAACTTTATAATATTGTTTTATACCTACTTACATCAGAAGAGTATATTATATAGGCTATAATTTATAACCGCGCCGCGGGCAAAAGCTACTTTTGAATGACTATTAAATGTTACTATTTAAAAAATATTGTTGTATTTATTGTGAAACTATACGTGCCTAGTGTTTTTTTGACGTGTCCCTTAATAATTAACCAGCGTAGTTGATACGTAAACCGATTATTATTTCATGTGGCCTTATTACACCGGGTTCCATACAAGGTTGCCGACCGTTACAATGTTATTGTTCTTCTGAAATCATTTCCTTGTTGGCCCGATAAATTTAGTGTTGACATCAATATGCTATTAATTGGTTTTACTTTTGGAGGCGTTAAAATGAGATTGGTGTTCATTGGGTATTAACTAGATATATTCAAAATCAGATACAATAAGGTTGCATAATTTTCATCCTAATATTAAAATATCTATTAACTCTTTAACATAACGAAAAAGAAGAAGGAAGGTAGTCCTTCAGAGGTTGTTGTTGTCTCAAAATTTTATTTAAAAATCGATTCAGTAGCAATCATCAACATCATCATTTTTAGCCATAGGACGTCCACTGCTGAACAGGCCTCCCCCAATGATTTCCACAATGGCCGGTTGGTGGCGGCCTGTACGTATACGTATCAGTACGTAGCAGCAGTCATATTTTATCAGGTTATTACTAGAGTTCATTTGGGTACAAAACCTATAACGATAGCAGATTTTGTAACTTTTATTGAATAGCAAATACATATAACAAGATTGAGGCTAATGAAAAAATAACTCAAAAAGTATGCTCTGATTTACAAAATAAACAGCAATTAACTTTTTTGCCCAAAAGATTGAGTTTTCTCGGAATTCCGAGGAGGCGGAATTCGACTAATAATCTAAGCATTTCAATAGATGTAAAGGCCATGCTTTCAGGATTCTTTTGTGCGGATATCTCTTGAGCGGTATTACGCACTTTTATGTTAGCTCTTAAGGCATTTAGGCTTACAAACGCCTTGGAAATGCGGGTAATGTCATCTATAAATTCCGGATTTAGGTTTATATTATCAGTGTTAGATAACTGGAGTTTAAATTAAAAAATAAGTAAACAGTCTTATGCATAACGATATAGAAAGCTAATGTGAAAATTCTGATGTGAAAGATATCAATAAATTAGTAGCAGGAACTCCAACAGCAACCAATCAAAAAAATCTTCAAACTTTTTATGCAAAAAAAAACCTTGAAAACACAAAAAGCTTTTAAGCAGAGTTACGCCATGACGACTGAGCCAAAGCATACTATGCGTTGCGGCGACGGTGCGACGCCGGAGCGGTGTCGCTGCGTCGTCTTCCATAGAATCTGTAGCGCGTCACACGATACGGTGAAATATTTGCGATGCGACGCCGCAACGCATCGTGTGCTTTAGCTCTAATAAAAACATACTGAAAATAAATTCATGCCTCCAGTACTTATTGCCAGTGCTTTACACGCGACCGTTTGCCCTTTTTATGGTTTGAACACCTGATTTCGTAGTCAGGATCGCTATAAACTCCGTGATGCTTTATCCTGAACCGTTTACGGCTCTTCCTCGTAAAAAATATTGTCAGCCATGAAAAAGCAAGTAGGAACGAATGAATTTTCTTCCCGTTTTATGTTTTGTATAAGTTTCTCTATGGATCTACAGCTTTTATAGTAAGAGCTGTAGTTTAGAATATGATTTTTCTTTATAATAATCGAGTGCTTTCGTTATCCACAAGCTTGTAGGTTAGATCAGGCGTCTCGCAAGCTAAAAATTCAAATAAATAGCTACTTAGCATTGCGGCAAACTTTTTTGAATTACAACTTAACTAGATAATATCGCTTACTAAAGTAGTTATAGGTATGAGGTTTTTGTAAAAATCATAATATTGCCACAACGCAAAGATAACATTTCATAATAATCAGATTTTGTATAAAGCACATACGAAAGCTTCAATTGCCATTACACTACCATATTCGTACAACAATTAGAGCTATTTTACAACTAGCATTTTATTAACACAAAGTCACCTAATACCTTCTATCGTATCATTTACTCGTTCAAATATTTAAATTGGTCAAAAAGCGATTAGATTTATACTCGTAGTACCGCGAATGGTACATAATGACAAAAGTATAGCGAGCTAATGGCATGTCGTATACAGCAAGTGACTTGGTAACTGTAGGACTAT